TACATTTTTTTAACTGTTTTATTCGTGAAGATTGGCTCTTTCCATAAGAGTACGTGTAAAATCAGTGTAAATTAAAACAGTTATATCTCGATCAGCAACCGTTTAGCGGATGCATTTTTACTTTTCTGCAGTCATTAGGAAGACTAAAACAGCAACTTTACAAATTTTTAGCGACTTTGTACTATTTTGAAGATAGGTCTGATCCTTAAATACTCTTGAAATACTTTTCATTAAAAAAATTGCTCCGCGTAGCGTTCGTACGGATCACTTTTTTGACTAGGTACTCTCTGAACATGTGTTTAAGACAAAGTTAAATACAGAATAAACAAGCCTTAGTGTGCAATCAGTGCGCACTGGTGCAAGCAACCGAATTCGCCGCCACATAAAAAGAGAGATTATTCGTCCCCTTCGCAACGAAGCCTCGATTAGACTCGTTAGTCGGACTCTCCGTGCAGGATGAGCGTGTATAATTGAACGGCACTCGAGCAAAAAAAAACGATCCCCCGCGCGAATAGCTCGGACGCGATTCACTCGGTATAAGACGTCAGTCAGCTTCGGTTGCAACCGACGCCGGCGTGTGTTAAGCTGTCTTCCAACTGACGGGTTAATGCCAACAGGACGTCACGCGAGGGGAATAAAGCTCCTAGGAGCCCCGGCTCCTGTGGAAATTAACGCGTCACGACTTCATTGGGTTTGATAGGATGCGTCTAAACCTCATTGCGCCGCCTGTCGAGGCAGGTGCAGCCTGTAATAATGATGCTGCGCGATAAATCGAGCCGCGCGAGGCTCGAGTAGTCACGCAACCCACGTTCGCCGAGCGAAAGTTGACATCTGACCCGGCGTTGCTCGGCGACGATCAACGGGGGCCGCGTTATTAATTTTATTTCACTTCCGGAGGGAAACGAAGCAAGACGTTGCCGTTTTGCATTTGCTGCGGCGATCGCGTGACTTCCCAAAACGAAGGCCGAAACCGTCCACGAGGAAACGGAACGAACGAGTATGGAGAATACGTAAGCGTGCTGTGTTCGCGCTCTGTCTCGCGGGCGCGTTCGGACAATTGTACGCTTTTATCGCGGCGCAAATGTTGAACAAGCCGTGTTAGTGAAGCTGTAAGAAATAGGCGTTGGCGTTGGTTAAGCTTTCCCCGCGAGGGAAAGGATGCGGCTCATTCTGCTGACGGTCTACCACACAGCGGGTAGCTACCTTTCATTGAATCAAGGCAGGTTTCCTGTGGTTCATGTTAAAGAATCGGAACTGTAGCCGCAGCGTTAGATCTTTCCGTACTGTTGGGAAAGAATAGGTGTCGTGAGTATTAAACGTATATCGCCAGCTTGGAGATTCGCGGAGTCGCGGATGGCGTACGATAAGAGAGACCTCGCGGCACTCGACCGGCAAGATAAGACTCCAATCATTCGCGAGTCATCGATAAGCCGTAATCAACTTTTAAGCGGCACTGACAGTCGGAGATACAAATCCGGCTCTTCAAAGGCGGCAAATGTACGGCGTCGTCTGAAATATCGAGGATCGACGTACGCGTTTCCGTCAGTCTTGCGAGTCGAGGTAGACCGCTGTGCAATACGATATCGCGATATCGACACCGCTTGTTGAGGGGAGCGCGTTGTGAACACCCACATATGCATCGAATAAGTAAACGAGGGGGCTGGCGTATGTGACAGAATAGGGGGACTGGCGACCCATCGGTTCTGCCTGCAAAATGCAATCTCGCCGAGATACGCCGGCTTCGAATCATAAAAACTAGACCCACGTCATCCGTACGTCGTATGTGCTGTAATAGTATATTGAGGCGTTAGAGGTGAGCAGGCCGAACTTGAAAAGAAAATCGAATCGGGATGCGAAAGACGGGGAGCAAGGGGAAATGATGCCGACAGTGCAGAATGAGATCGTGCGGGACGGATTCGCGCGAGAGATGAGATGTTAGTTGTGTTCACTCGTTCAATCGCGTGATCTTGCTTCGGGAACACAGAGAACAAGTCGTTGCATTCGCCCAGCGATTAGACGGACTTGAAGGGTGATTACGCGTGACGCTTTCTGCGCACAAGTTTCGAATAAATGCACATTAAAATGCAAAATTACAAATGGCTCTTTCCCTTTAGATCGTGCGGCATTCGTGCGAGAGATGAGATGTTAGTTGTGTT